TAAAAATGAGTTGTTTCATTTATGCAGCATGTTGAACATATTAACACAAGGGTTTTCTAAAATCATATAAAGCTATTCTGTAATTTGATGAAAGCAGAACACATATATTTCAGATTTCCACTCACCTAGGGAAGCCATGTGACTATAAAACTCAAAGAACTTCTAATTATCTTCTTAATGCTTCTAATTTAGTTTTAGTTATCCAGAGTTTTAAAAAAATCACTTTAGACACATTCTTAAATACACTCTGCTAATTATCCCCCACATCTCTACTTTTTGGTTTCTGATAACAAGGATAAAAATCTTCATCTATACACATGTATGAATTGTTAAAGAATCATTTAACAGGAGAGGGAACTACAGGGGACCATTACTCATTTCAATGTTAATTAGAAAAGCTATTCAACTACCCTAATAGGTAAGAGATAAATGAACCCTCCCTCCAATTATTAAATGTTTCAAATAGAATTCTATAAAACAAACAAACAAATGCCTGGGCACAGGGTTAAATGACTATCATTAAAGGTCACATGTTATCATTCACAACAAGAATAAACAGTAAATGCATTTGTAAATAATATCGTTATTCTTGAATAATTAATAAGGCTCTTCTAAAGAAAGCATGAAACTGAAAGGTGGTGTTTCAGTATTTAAGCTGGACTCTTTTGTTGCAATTTCCATCCATTAATCACTCACTCTTTGTGCTGCTAAGTTATCAGATAATACCCTCTATCTTCATCACTCCTCTGTTAGTTTGTCATACTGTGGTGGCTTGCATTTGCTGTCATGCTGGGAGCTATACTCTAATATTATTTCAAATAACATCAGAGTCACACATGATGGGCAAGTTTCAGAGGAACTTCCATATTAAGGCAGACAGAAGAATGGCTTCGCAGTTCACTTCCGAAAGAAATCCAAAGGATAATAGTGGTGCATTGTCAGATATACTGCCATCAGATATCTGAGAGATTTTGGAAAGCACTCAAAATAAACTGAAGAGGAGCTGCCTCTTCAAAGCTGTTGACCTCAGTGACATGGATGGCATAAAACTTTCAGGGACTTGAGTTGATGCTATGGCAAGACTCAAAATGCGAAGAAACAGCTCCAAATCCATTAATCATAGAAATGTGAAAAGTACAAAGTGTGAATCTAGGTAAGTTGGAAGTTGTCCAAAATGAAATTGAAGGCATATCAATATGCTAGGCATCAGTGGGCTAAAATGAATGTCTACTGGCCATTTCCAATTCAATGGTCATATGATATGGTTATATGTTGTAAGTGACAAATGTAAAGGGGTTGCATTTGCATTCCTCATCATAAAGGACATTCAAGATCCATCATAAGGCCCCAGTCCCTGGATAAGGGCTTCAAGTTTGATAAGGCAGAGGATCCATGAGAAAGAGCAAACTCTGACCACTGCAAGCAGATGGCTGGGCCCATGGGCTGCCTTGGGCTCGAGCAGATAATAGCAGTGGGAATGATGCTGGACCAAGAAGAAATGTGTGTTTTAAGTTGAGTCCCTATGAATAGAAACAGACTGGAAGGCTCCTCACAATTGCCTATATGAGTCTTGAAAGGTCGATGATTCACACAAGCCAGCAACACAATGGGGGAAAGGTATGGCACTCTTTGAGTTGAATAGTATAGCCTTGAAATGCTATGGGGTCAGTTTTACTCTGGGAAACAACTTGATGGTACTGGGGTAGTCCTTATATCATAGGCTCCCAAACTGACCACTTTTCAAAAAAAAAAAGGTTACTGAGCCCCCACTCATCTCTCTCCCCACCCGGTCAATGAAAAACTTCTTCTACTATAGCTCATAATGCAGGATAAATGTAGATATCTGTTTTGGCAGCCCTTTCCTCCCCCCAGTTCAACTCAGAGCCCCCAGGGCTGGTATCACCCACTTTGGGAAACTCAGAGCTGTATAGGAGCTAGTACTGCCTTTAGATTGGTGAATTCCCTGACCACAAATCATATATTACTCATTTTGTATCTCTTAGACCTACTGTAATACCTGACAGATATTAATTACTAAAAAGGATTTATGGTTGAGTCAACATGAAAGATGAAGCTAAAAATTGAACTTAACTCACTCACAAACAAACAAAAATCCCTCAGAGCCACTGAGTCAAGCCTATGTCAGAGTGGTCTTGCAGAACATGGTGAAACTGCCCTTTGGGTTTTGGGGGCTCTCAGGGGTCACAGGAGCAGACAGCCTCATGTTCCTCCCGTGAGCACACGTGCTTTCTGCATCATGTACCACTGTCTGAGAGCGTTGAATAGCCACTGTTTATTTTTGGTACAGTGATTGTACATTCCTTTCATCATCTTTGGATGCTACGCATACTGCTAAGTATTTTTCCCAATCTTTTTTCCTTCAATAACTCAGCACAAGCTTGAATGTTTTCTTCAGGCGTCTACCTTTCTCCTTTCAAGGTGCCCCTTTCCTTCTTTCCCCTCACCTTGTTTTTCACTCCCTCTCCCCCGTGGAGCTTCTCTTTCGCTCCTTTTCTGTTTCAGTACAGAGGAGCAAATTTAGTGCACTTGATTTTATTGCACTTGATTTAGGGCAAGACCTTTGACCATGTCAATCATCTTATGACTAATTTCTCTAACAGCTCATAAATGAAATCTTTCTTAGCCACTGAATACGTTTTCACAAATGTGAACAAAGATTTGCTTGCTGTCTCCAGTGAGACAACGTTTGTTCATGTAGACATCTCTTTTCTAAAAATTTAAAGTCCGTTACTTTTTCAATAATTAATAAT